AACTCATGCTCCAGTGGCTATGGGGTAGTATCATAGTGCTGATACTTAACCCCTTGCATTCCCAGGGTGGCACATAGACAGAGATTTTCTTAAAGGCCTTGAACCACTAAATTTTTCTGTCTTTGCTGCAATTGCTCTAAGTGCACATGTTGTTATCTACTTTCAGTGTTCCTGCAGGTGGTTTAAAGCATTACCAGCCATCACTTCCACCTGCACAGAACCTCAGGGTCAGCCAGAGGTAGGACGTAGGGCTTCCTCAGACTTCTGTGTATGTGCACAGCCTGCAAGTGCATGTGTCCTTTTGGCTATTTAGGAATATGTCAGAGCTCTCCAAAGCTTGTTAAAGATTTCTCATTCCTGAACATTTTTTTTTTGGCCAGTGTCCTGTTAGTACCCAACTGGTATCAATGCCTTAGAGAAATAGGAGGCTAAACAAATTGCCACTGTTTTTGGAAGATGTACTAAGGATAGGGCAGTTTACACAGAGTAAGTTATCAGATCAAATGAAGGTAACTGAGAGTGGAGCTTGAGCTTCTTGGTGCTCAGTCAGATCAAATAGTTGGGGCTTAGGTTCTCCACATTTATTTTGCCTCCTTTAGTGGCTGGGCAGCTATTAATAGTTTCATAGCTGGGGCCTCCCTGGTGGTGCAAAGGGTTAAATAACAGCACTATAAAACTGTCTTCAGCCACTGCAGCACAAGTTCAATCCCGAGCCATGGAGCTGACCCACATGGCACAGCTGGCCTCTCCTGTCTTGCCTGCTGCTCCCTCAATACTTTATTTCAGTAGATCAACCTGTTCTGTTTTGTTCTCTACTCTGTCTCTGGTGAATCATCTCTCCACCCCCACCACCCCCCTTTGCCCCCCCATACCTCTGGCCTACTCTCCAGCTCATATATGCATAAATAAATAAATCTTTTAAAAAATAGTTTTCACAAATATATTGGTGAATATTTTGGTTTTCAAGGCTACACAAAGCTAGGGAGAGGGAAATGGGTATCAGGAAAGTTAAAACACCATAGAATTATCTGGTTCTTACCAAGATTCAGCAATTTTTAAAAAATTGTTGCTAAATAAACATAAGAATATACACCTTACCAGTTGACAATTAAAAAAATTACAGGTTAGGGCTCTCCCTGGTGCACAGTGGGTTAAAGCACCAAATTATGAAGCTCTCTGAAACCACTGCAGCGTGAGTTTGATCCCCAACCAGGGAGTGACCCACGTGGCGTGGCAGACCTCTCCTGACCTGCCCTCTGCTCCCCTCAGCAGTGTATTTCAGTCAATATGCCTGTCCTGCTCCCCACTCTGTCTCTGGGAAATCCTCTCACCTACCACACTTCTGGCCTGTACCCCAGTTCTGTAAGCATAAATAAATAAATATTTTAAAAAAATTATAAGTTAGTGACAATATAATTCAGTTATAACGTGTGCCTGAATCTTTGAAAAACATTTGTCTTTTGCCATTGAGGTGCATATGTCCTGTCTACTTTGTGTGAGCAAAAGTGGTTTGAGATGTGAACATATGTAAGCTCACAGGTAAACCTCCCTCAAGACCTTCTTTGTGCTGTTCACCTTTGGGTCATCTGGCCCAGTTAACATGATGTTGTTCAGATAGTGGGTCAGTGTGATGTTCTGCAGAGTCCATACTACCAGAGTAATATTTTATGCAAGAAGCCTCAATTATTTTTTTAAAAGATTTATTTATTTATGCATACAAGAACTGGGGTATAAGCCATAGGTAAATTCAAGTGAAATAAAAAATGGAGCTTATTTGAGGAAACTGAGAATGATGTATTAGCTTTAAATGTTTTTTTTGTTTGTTTGTTTTAAAGATTTATTTATTTGTACATACAGAACTGGGGTACAGGCCAGAGGCTCAGGGGTGGCGAGAGGCTTCACCAGAGACAGAATGGGGAGCAGAACAGGCAGAGCGATGAAGTACACTGCTGAGGGGAGCAGCGGGCGGGTCGGGAGAGGTCTGCCACGCCATGTGGTCACCTCCAGGGCAGGCAGGAATCGAACTCATACAGAAGTGACTTTAGCTTCTTAGTGCTGTGCTTTAACCCGCTGTGCCACCAGGGAGGGCCAGCTTTAAATGTTTTTATGATACCTATATTTCAGCCCCATTAAAATAAATCCCATCTGGCAGTGTTCTCATTTTATTGGTAGTACATGTCTGTAATCACTGTTATTAAATTTAGTTTTTTTAAATCATAAAAAGTGATGGCTTTTACATTTAAGTATATTTACCTTTTTCTCTTTTTAGAAACTATAACCCACCTCCCTAAACTTGTTCACAGTGACATGGAAGATCCATTTGGTGAGTATCACATGCATTTTTCTTAGTAAATGATACTTATATTTTACCATTACTTCTACTAAGGCTTTAAGAAGATAGGAATTTTTTTCATGTTCAGTATGCCATTTCCAACTTTTTGGTCTCAGAATCCCTTTATGCTCTTAAATATAATTGAGGGAATTCAAAGAACTTTATTTATATGACATACCTATTAATATTTACTAGAATTTTATTATTACTTGTATCTGTTGATATTTACTATATTAGAAATTAAACAAGCAGTTAAAAAATTCTAATTTGTGTAAAAATAACATTAACAAACTCAATATATGTTTCATAAATAACATTATTGATAAAAAATAACTCCTAGTATAAGATAACCAAAAAAGAGAGAGTACAGTTTTTATACATTTTGCAAATCACTTTAAGGTCTGTTGTATTCACATACCCACTTCCACATTCAATGTTGTGCTGTTACATACTGTGTAACCTCTGGAAATTTGTACAGTTGGGAGGTAATGAGAATGAAAGGACAAATGACATTTTAGTTTTTAAAAGATTTATTTATTTATACATTTAAGAATGGTGGTGTAGGCCAGAGGTGCAGGGCTTGAGAGGATTCACCAGAGACAGTGGGGAGCAGAACAGGCAGATCAGATGTAAATACACTACAAAGGGGAGCATCAGACAAGCAGAGGTCAGCTGCCACATGTGGGTGACTCCCTGGCTGGGAATTGAACTCATGCAACAGTGGGCAGTGGCTGGCAATAGCCTGAGAGCTCTGAGACTTTAATGGCTGCACCGCCAGGGAGGCCCTAGCATCTTAGTCACCTTATTTAGCAACTTATTTTATTTATTTAAAAATTAAATCAATTCTTTTTTATTTTATAAAAAATAAATCTAACATTGCTGTTATCTCCAGTGGTCCCTAGATGCTTTAAAGTGTTAGTTACCTGCACCCTCCCTGGTGGCGCAGCGGGTTAAAGCACAGCACTAGGAAGCTAAAGCCACTTCAGCATGAGTTCAGTCCCCACCCTAGAGGTGACCCACATGGCTCGAAAGACCTCTCCTGACCCGCCCGCTGCTCCCCTCAGCAATGTATTTCGTCAATCGGCCTGTTCTGCTCCCTACTCTGTCTCTGGTGAATCCTCTCACCGCCCCTGCACTTCTGGCCTGTACCCCAGCTCTGTATGCATAAATAAATAAAACTTTTAAGAAGAAAAATGTTAGTTACCTCAAGTAAAACTAGAACTGTTTAACAAATTTATTTAAACTTCAAAAATTAGCAACTTAGGTATACTTTTATTTGGTTTGAAATTTAGTTTTCAACAAGTGTGCTCAAAGTGCTTCATTAATATTTGTCAAATGAAAGCATGGAAGTAATCATAATAGCAAAAATATATAGTACTTCCACTTGTTTCCTTACATGTCAAATTTTATCCAGCATGGTTTAGGGAATAGAAATCTAGATACATACAGATTTATTATCTACATGTTTTTACCGAAAACATCAGTTACTGTGTGTTGAACCCAGTTTTGTTATTTGACTCATTTCAAAGAGAGATATTGTCCAGGGTATCCAATTTTTTTCAAACCACAATATAGACTAGGAAGATTAATTAGGAAGTACTTCCACTTAAAATTTGCTTCATAGAGCAGCGCATCTGCACCTTAGCACTCAGTGCTGATATTTCAGTGGAAAAAGGACGACACTTGCTATTGTCAGGATTCCCCAGGGGGAAAAAAGAAAAAAAAAAATTTGCTTCATAAAAACAAGGAATTAGACTTCTTGTTTTACTCTAGCATGCTAGAGGAAACACTTGATAAGAATGCTGTGATTTATATTCTTCTGGTGCCTAATTACCAGAATGACTGAGGTTGGGTTCCTTGGGCTACTGGTAGCAGTAAACAGATTAAATTAATAGCTGTTGTCTTGCTTTTGAGAAAGTTCTAGGTAAAACCTTTCAAGACCAAAATTTTTAAATGATTTTTTGGCTCCCGCCCCCTAAGGTGAAATTCTTATTTCCAACACTAGAGGGAGGGCATTCACTACTTTGTTAATTTGTAGTTTCATTGGGTAGTTAATTCCTGAGGGGATTATCTGTGAGGTATGCTAAATCAGGTTGCTTTTAGTTGCCTGGTAACATTACCTAAAGAACATGCCCATATGACAAACCTGAATAATCTATGACAGCTCTGAAGTTTTTTACTGGAAACCTCTTCATCTTACCCAATTTATAAGTTAAATTTAATTAATTAAATGTGTTATGAAACTGATTCCTTCTTACTTCAGTTTAGTAGGGAATGCCAAGGGGAGAGTTGCTGTGACAGTTCTAGCTGGCCAGTAGTCCCTTGAATCATAAATTGGAATATGCTTTTGATCACTAATATGGCTTGTGTTCTGTGATAGTGAGATCTTTAATCTTGTATTTTTAATGTTGGTATTTGTAAGTGAATTAACATTTATATTCATAATGTGGACTCTAGACAAAGCCAGAAATGACTTATAAGTTACATTTAAGAACCATCGTCCTTCTGTCTCTAGTCTTTCTTCTGAACATTGCACGTATCTTTCTCCTTACTGCTTACAAAACATACATATGATAAGAATTTGATTTACACAACTATCAGTCCATTCAATGCTATTTGACAATGAAAAGAATTATGAATGTAAAATGAGCTTGTTTTTAATAAGATTGAATTCTTATAAGATGGGGTGAGAATTTTGTAATAGATCAACTGTTATCTAAATACAGTGAAAAGAAATTATTCTCAAAATAAAAGTGAGGGATTTTTTGCCTATTAAGGACAGTGGATAGGCCTTTGGTAAGTGGGAAATTTGTGCACATTTTATGATAGGATATTTTAAAATCATATTTTTTAATAGTACTGATGGTCTCATCAGAATAGCCTTTAAATATTGGTATTAAAATATTGTAAATTTTGTTTTCTAAAATTCTGATTTTCACTTGCCTGCTTGACTTATATTATTGACAACAAGTATTGCCGCTTTATAGTTTAAAGACTCACTTTAGGGCCCTCCCTGGTGGCACAACAGGTTGGGACTTAGCACTGCAGGCGATCTATAGTCGCTTCAGTACAAGTTCGATCCCTGGTCCCAGAGCTGATCCACATGGCGCGGCAGACTTCTCCTGACCTGCCCACTGCTCCCCTCAGCAGTGTACTTTGTCAGTTGCCTGTTCTGCTCCCCACTCAGTCTCTGGTGGGTCCTCTCGCTGCCCCTTCACCTCTGGCTTGTACCCCAATTCTGTATGCATAAATAAATAAATTTTTTTTTAAAAAATACTTTATTCAGTTTTGAGAAAACATCTTTGAAATAACTGTGCTTGAATAGGATAGCTTATCATTCAGTCTTTCAAGTAAAAATGGTATTTCATTAAAAAAGTGGTTAGTGGCCCTCCCTGGTGGTGCACTGGGGTTAGGACATAGCACTGCAAGCTGGTGGCAGCTGCTTCAGTGTGAGTTTGATCCCCAGAAGTGATCCACATGGCGTGGCAGACCTCTCCTGACCCGCCCGCTGCTCCCCTCAGCAGTGTACTTCGTTGATCTGCCTGTTCTGCTCCCTACTCTGTCTCTGGTGAATCCTTTCACCCTCCGCATTTCTGGCCTGTACCCCAGTTCTGTATGCATTCCTTTCCTAGAGGTAACCATTGTACTTAAGTATATAATTTATGCATTCTTTCCCTTTCATCACACAGGACATTAAAAAGACATGTACTGAAGGACAGATTTAATGAATTCTTTTTTTTTTTTTTTAAGATTTATTTATTTGTACATACAGAACCGGGGTACAGGCTAGAGGCTCAGGGGCGGTGAGAGGCTTCACCAGAGACAGAGTGGGGAGCAGAACAGGCAGATCGACGAAGCACACTGCTGAGGGGAGCAGCGGGCGGGGCAGGAGAGGTCTGCCACACCATATAGTCACCTCCGGGGCAGGCGGGAATCAAACTCATGCGGAAGCGGCTTTAGCTTCTCAGTGCAGTGCTTTAACCTGCTGCGCCACCAGGGAGGGCCCTAATGAATTCTTTTTTCCTGATTTATCAAAGACTTTCTTAAATTATAACCAAGATTACTTTTAACTGCAGTTTTTTTTTTCCTTTTTAACTGCAGTTTTTTGTTTTTGTTTTTTCCTTTTTAACTGCAGTTTTAAGTAGTGAGAAACATGAGTCCTACTCTACTTTGATATAGCTACTTTGGTTTGTGTTAAGTTACTAGCATTTTTACTCACTGTTGCTTTTGTACCTTTAGTACAGTTCTCAACACAGTGAAAAAGTCAGATTATTCTTTATATTATTTTTTTAAAGATTTATTTATTCATGCACACAAGAACTGGGGTGTAGCCCAGCGGTGGGAGAGGTGAGAGGATTCAGTAGAGACAGAGTAGAGGGTAGAACAGGTGGATCGACTGAAATACACTGCTGAGGGCAGCAGCAGGTCGGTCAAGAGAGGTCTGCTGTGCCATGTGGGTCAGCTCCCTGGCTGGGATCCAGCTCATGCTGCAGTAGCTGCAGACAGCCTCGCAGTGCTGTGCCACCAGGGAGGGCCCCCTTCTTCCTTCTTTAATTATTAAGTATTAGTTGTACGTCTTCGGGATCCCAAGGATTGATGGGCCATTCTTGCTTCAGGTTCCTGAGGTTCGAAGTCTCTTCTTTGGAAGTTATGGGCAAGGTCAAGACTTAGTCCTGCATACCTTATTGGACAGGGCTTTGCTATGGACATTTGCCAAAAATATGGTTAGCAGGACTAAGAGGATTATGACCTAACTATGCTTTTCAGGAATAGGTTAAAGAACCTTCTTTAGGGTAAAATGGAATGTTTTGAGCTCATTAAGCACCTGAGTATTTTGAGAGACTTATCAACATTTAGTCAAAACAAGCTGAGGGTACCACGCGGGCACCATGTTCTTACCTTTTAAAAGAAGGTAAGTGACAGCACAGATCTTAGTTTGCTTCAGTGTGTCTCTTGAGTCACACTGCTCCTGTCTAGACTTGTGGCCCTTT